TACTTTAGGACGGAGAAAATTCCGCTCTCTCACACCACTTCGGACTTGATACCCTTTTCCTTGTCCATGGAGTACAGATACTGATCCATGCAGAGGAGGTTGACTTTGATGGAGGTAGACGCGTGGCTAGGTACGTTCACGGACGAGTTGGTCACAGCTGCGAATTGATAGTCAATCGATAGATTGCCTCTAATCTTTCGGTTGTCCACGTGTCGATCGAGGTTCAAGTTGAGCGGAATCATGAACAGGTGATTGCAGTAGTCCGCAGCCGTTATGGGTATTTCCGTGTTGTAGGTTTTACCGAAGAACTCTTGCACGAGGTTGTAGCCGCGCAGGTAGCTGGACTTGTTGTAGTCGTAGAAGTAACCACCATCATCGTTCACGCTACACTCCCATTCGAATTTGAGAGGGTTGTCGAAGAGAGACTCGTCGTTGACAGTCACGCGCAACTGTGAAAGGTTCGCATGTATCAGAGCCAGCCTATTCGATCCGCTAGATTGACCGGCACCCATGGTAGGAGCATCGCTCATTTTCAGATCCGTAAAGAACAAAATCATCTTGCGAGGGATGTCTGCATTGTGCAGGAGCTCCAACGTACCTGCATCGTCCGCAATGCTCTTCTGAATCAGGCGAGGGCACCAGGTGTGGAAGTAGAGCTGCTTGGACAGACGTACCTGATCCGTATAAGTACGCTCCATCCTGTACGTGGGAAACACGAAGTCGAGCTGTAGAAGCTCAACGCTAATATCTCCAACGCTTTCAGCGCTGTTACCACCACCACCTCGATCGCTCATAATGAAGTAGCGGGAGAGTTCTGATCGAGGCAGATCGAACCTGATCTTCACCTGTGTGCCCGGGGGTAGCCAAGCATCGTCCACATTGAAAAAAGGCAGGAAGGGCCGCATTTTGTACTGGAACTTGCCCGACCGGACACGCACCACGTTTTCTTGAACGGTGTTGCTGAAACTGGTGGTCTCGCTGATTTCCACGCTAGGCAAGCGCTTCACTTCATGGTCGTTGTTCGTGGCACCGAAATCATCACCGCCGGCAGTGTCTGTTTCAAAGGCAAATGCACGCTTGCGTTTCACACCATACTGATAGGCTCTCAGGTCGATGGCCTTCAAAGCCTTTTGAGGATCGAGTTTTTGCAGTCCGTACAGATCGGAGTCGGAGTACTGGAGCTTGGCAACGTTGCTCTCCATCAGACTGAGAATGTGCTGTACGATTTGCATATCAGAGATCTTGCTCGACTGTGTCACCTCGCTTCCGTTCAGTTCCACTCGGATGTTCTTGAACCAGGAGAACGCAGGAGACGTGGGACACAGCCAGCTTGTATAGTCTTGCGCGCCATTATCACGATTGTCTTTTACGGAAAATCTCATCTTCACGATGAAGTAGCTCTCGCCCAGAGCGATGAAATTCGGAGATGAGATATCCAATTCATTGTTGAGGGAGGGAGGAGAGCGGTCGGTGGAGGAGTACAGAATAACTCCTCGTCTGCCTTCCAGAAGGGAATGCTTTTTTTCTGTTCTTTCCAGAATAGCCTCCTGCACGATCTTGCCGTTCGTGAGCAGACCCTTAAAGGAGTCGGGTATCTGCGGTGTCACCAGCTCCTGAGCCATAACGTCTAGTAGTAGTAGTAGTAGTAGTGGAGTCCTTTGTGTATTGGGAGAAATTATTTTTCACCTGCCGCTTTCTCCAGAGACCCGTCGACGAAATCGCGAGCCTGGGTATAGATACCCTGCAGCTTTCGATGCTCTTCGGAAGTAAGCATACCATCCTCCATGCAAGTGCCCAAATCCATGGTGAACGCATCCTCTGCCTTCTCCCATCTCTGTCGAGTGTTGAGGAGTTTGCTGAGTTTCACTCTGATCTGGTTCGAGTACTTACCAACACAGCCCAACAGGACGCTGTTGCAGGAGGCAAACAAGGAAAGGCAGCCGATTATGCGTTTGTCCACGTTTGCAAAAACACTCGTCTGCCCAGCGCTTAGCATGACTTGGAAACAGAGTAGAACGGCAAGAATGAGACCCAGACGCTCGAGAAGATTCTCTAGGGCGTGGATCTTGACCTGCTCCTGCTCTTTGCGTTCTACGATTTTGTCGAGCATTTGGCGAATGTGGTGAAGTCGAACGTCACCGGACCGGACCTCTAACACGTTGTCGAGAGGCATCATGATGCTGGCGGACATGTTGCGAAATGGTGAGTCTCTCTTTCTCTCTCTCTCTCTCTCTCTCTCTCTCTCTCTCTCTCTCTCTCCTCCTCCTCGTCTTAACTAGGAGGTGGAAATATTTTCAACACGCAAGTCCAGGTAGATTGGATAGCCAGAGGTGATGTGCTCGCCAGTGTTGAACTTGAGCCAAAAGGTGATTTGGCGAACGTTTTCGTTTGGTAGCAACAGTCGCTTGTCGTCCTTGGCAAACACGTAGTTGTTCACCCCGTTCAGGGTTTGCACTAGAAAGGTTTTCAGCACTCGCGAGTCGGAGTTGTCCTCATACTCGATGGAGGGTCCAATCAGATCGGTGTATAGAAGCACCAGTCTCCTTCCTTCGGTGAGATCTACGGCGTGGGGAAACGTGACCGCGCCTGCAATCTCATACCTTCGCTTGACGCTGCCCAGACCAAGCAGAATTCCGGGGGAATCGTTTTTCAACACGCAGACCTTGTCGAGAGGTGTGGATACGGTAATTCGGCTGTTCAGACGGGAGTACGTGAAGAGCACATCTCCGTGGTTGCTATTTTTCAAAACAGCGTTGATGCTTGAGACCAACAAATCGATATCACTGTAGCTACCGGTAGGTATGGCAACGCGCTCTTCAAGACCCTCAAGGTTTACCACGTACAGCTTGTTCGTCTTGTTACTCAGATTCTCGTAGTGCAATTCAAATTGAGCAGATTCCAAGTGCAGCGTTTTGTGACGTGTGTCCAGTTCCTTTATATTCAAAGTAAAACTCGATGAAAACACCCCGCTGCTCACTGCCGACGCAGTGTTGGCCGCGGTTAGAATAACGGACATCCTTAATTCATAAGAGGAAAAAATTCGTCCAATTATACAGAGGCACACGTGGAACACGCAAGAAGCAGTAAATATGACTTTCTGGGCAACTCACTTTCACAAAACAGATGCAGAGCAGGCATCGGAAAAGACGGTGCGAGAATTGAAGGAGGACATGGTACAACTGAAGGTTTTGCTGGGAAACGAGAATACAGAGAATACCATCATGCACGACGTGAAGACTTTGAAGGTGGAAAAAGTAGACAGGACGACGGCACAACTGCTCCAAGAACAGATTGCGGGATTACTAAAGAAAACAGGACCCAGGGGAGAACAAGGACTGGGCTGGCTCAGCGGTGGAAGGGAACCAGACGATGAAGAAGGTAGACAGGGAGATTTCTTCTTGGACGCGAGGACTCTGACCGTGTACAAGAAGCTGTCACATGGTTGGACGGCTTTTGCCACTCTCAAAGGACGTCGTGGAGAACGAGGGGCGCCAGGTGAAAGTGCTCCTTCCCTGGGTGGATCTACAGTGCACAGCGTTGACCAGGATTTCCCACCACCGCAATTGCAACCTAACGCAGAGATCGAGTTGGTGGTATTCCCCCCGGGGAAATCCCCTGCAAATGGTCTTATAACACCAATCGACTTGTACGTTAAGGTGACTCATCGCCCGGAAGAGGAGAGCGCAGAACCCGACTTTGGATCGGTAGTGCCAGGTGATACCGTGCATTGGATGTCTTACAAGGACATACTCACGGTGAACCTTTTGAATATCATATACATCGACCAAGGCGAAGAGGGCACCCGTGCCATGCTCAGACTGAGTGGATTAGTCATAGGGCGTCATCACAACTATATTGTTCACTCCTCCTACCGATATGTGTATAGACAGTATTAGCATGTAGAAGATAATCTCCTGCTTTCATTTTTTCTTCAATGTTCTAGCATATCCCAGTCACACTCACGCACATATACGCACACAGATATAAGCACACACAGATGGACGTTTTGTTTATACGCACAGTACTATAATAGGAAAGAGGTGAGAAGTACAGTAGTAATACCTCCAGCGATGAGGAATAACATTGGCATGGCCAGAGAATGATGATCAAAGAGGGAAATCTTCAAGAGCTCTTCATGCACGACTCTCTCCATACAGGAGACGATGGAGCGAACAAGATCTGGTCCTCCAAGCTTGGCACGCTCTGAAAGTGCCATGACAAGTGCTACTTGGGTTATCAAGTTTGCAACACTCGTCGGTCCACTTGTAGAGGACATTTCCCTGACGATATTCGAGATGCCGCTTGCCAGAACACTTTCTTCCAAGCTAGCACCTTCATTAGTATAGCAGCTATGTCCTGCAGCTTCTCGGGGAATGTAGCAGCAGTTAGGAGAACCGCCTGCCAGAGATCCCTAGACCAATCTTCAGTATGCAGCAGTGCAATGTCGACTTCAGCGCTGACAGTAAACGGTTCCACAGGGCTTGGCCATGTGCTAACACCAACCCTAGCTGCACGACGTAGCAACGCAGCTAGGATACAGGGCTTGCGGTGGTGGTGT